ATTTCGCCAATTCAAGCCTAATTCCAAATCACATTCCGGACGCACTCCTAAGTCCAGAATCACCTAACGGAGCTAACAGAACCATCAGAATTCCAATCCGAGATCAAATGCTAAAGAGTCAAATTTTGGTGAACTCTCCCAATTTAAAGCTTCAACAATGAAATTCTTTCTTCCAATTCAATTCCGAAATACCTGCGACCCAAAACCGACGATTCACACAAGTCAAAGTACATCATACGGAGCTACTCATGCCCTCAAACAACTGAGCGAAGTGCAAATGTTCAAAATGGCCGGTCGGGTCGTTACATCCTCCCTCACTTAAACATACATTCGTCCACAAACGTACCCGGAGTTGTTCCAAAAGCCATCAAATCGCTGTGTAGCTTTCACATGCACATACTCGGGGATGATCCCACATCACCCTATCCAATACAGGTTCAATAGCACAGTATAACTGAAATTTCTCAATTCAACCTAGCCCACAAGCCTTCGAATCAAATTTCCAACATCCGAAATTTCCTATAAGATGAGAAGTTTGCATCTACATACCGTATAAGTCTGAACAATCCATACCAAAAGCCGTAACCATAACTCAAATACTCAAATTCAAATACCGCATAGCTCGAATGCTCGAAGCAATGATTTCAAATCACAGTATCGACTCAAATCAACCCGGTGCTTGTAATAAACCTCATATCAGACAAAACCTCGTTCTAAAACCTTCGTACACTGCCGATGATGAAAGAAACATACCGAATTCATAACCATTCATTAGACCAACAGGTCATGGAGCTCCCGTTCCTTCTACAAGAACTAAAGCCAATTTTAAAGCCGACTTCCGATATTATCCTCCCAATTATACCACAATCAAATCTGATAGCATCCATTCTAGGACCAATGACCTCGTCTCATCCAACACGACCACTCTAGTAACATGACACATCAATACAATCTAAAGCCTCAGCCCGTGCAATCCGTGTACCAGATAGCAATATTCCAAATGTACCCAATCGTAACAATGACCCAAACAGGAGAACCGTTCCGCAAGCTCGAGGAGTACCACCCCTACGCAATGCTAAGAATCCATCACACACCACAGAACCATAACACACGAATCTTACACGAGGGATCATATTTCCACATAACTCTGCTGCAATACGCGACCGTATCCAAATATTGGTCCATATGAAACACATCAAGCCACCTTGCTAAAATCAATAACCATGCGCAATTTGACATCAAGTACCCAAAGTGCATTACCATAACCACGGAGAAGCAAACGAAACCATGCCACATAAAACCCAAAAGAACATAACCAAAACGTCATCAACCAAGCAATATCCAATACTATTCTCGCTCAAATTCCGTTATAAGGCCACAATAGAACCGCACCATATGTGCATATAACCAACGAATCACAACTCCTTATAGCATAGAAGAGTAACTCACAAATCATTTCAGAACACGAATAAGCTTCACATCAAGCGAATGGCACATCCTTCAACAATAGCAGTATGCAGCCAATCAATCCAGCTCGGTGTAGAATACGTATCCTAATTGGGCCTACCAATGGGCCCCAAATCAACTATGGTCAGCCACCAATAGATAAACAACCTCCGAAAGTCCACAATGATGGAATCATAATACCTTCTATCATCTGGCTAGCTCCGGCCACAACTTCACAGTCCACAGCCATGAAACAATCTGCTCCTGAGAACTCCCAATCTCCAATTCCATAGAACACATGAATCACTATATTTGATTCCACCTCCACCGCCCGAATGCCTAACACCTCTCTCATACATAATCATCCCACGAGAAATACTAAAAAAAAAAAATCTTCAGTGCCACATCGCAAAAAATTGAATATCCACAGTCGATCAACCAGGAGAGTGTTGCAATACCAGCGAAGTACCCATAAATCAAAACACACTGCCCCTTCTGAAATGTACACTCTCATCAAGCTATACCAGATAGTAATATCATTTACCTAGTCATCGGAAACCGTTCATGCTGCCCAAGAATTTATATCCTTCCCTTCAAAACTGAACTGTGACCTTGTACATATAAATCCTATTCCCGCACAACACACCACATCTATTGTGCCATCGTATGACAAGCATAAGAATTCCATTATCAACTCTGAGTCACTAGCAAATTACATACCTTATTAGTGAAAAACCTCTTTCTTGCTTCTTTTTAGGAGGAAATCATAACACACAACACGCTCCGTACATCGGTAGAAAATATCCGGTTCACACCATGGTAGAACCCATCATGAACACTTTGAAATCCATTTGCACATAACCAAGCTATCTGAACTGAATTCCTCTAACTCCACCAAGCCACAAAGGTTGCCAAATTCAAGAGCATTGCCACGAAACACCTGTAGATACTAGCCACATCATAAGTACTTAAAGAACCGATCATACCCATTACTGTTCTAACCCAACCTACTACCAAGCCATCCTATTTCTCCAAGTTCTTTCTAAATTGCCTTCAAATTGTTACTTTTTCATTGTTAGAACACTACTATCCTTAACTAAAACTTACCCCACGAACTCTAGCATAGAATCACGCCGCCCTAGGGCTTATAAGCCGCTGAATTCCCTTTTTTATGTATCCCAAAGGTTCCACAACCAAAAATGCTTACTCCGAAGAGACTTTATGTGAACCTAAAACTGTTTCCTTCACCTTCTTGATACTGAAATGCATAATTCACAATGATATAAGATGCCACGAGTCTCAACACCGTTCAATGCAACTCCNCCGCCCTAGGGCTTATAAGCCGCTGAATTCCCTTTTTTATGTATCCCAAAGGTTCCACAACCAAAAATGCTTACTCCGAAGAGACTTTATGTGAACCTAAAATTGTTTCCTTCACCTTCTTGATACTAAAATGCATAATTCTCAATGATATAAAATGCCACGAGTCTCGACACCGCTCAATGCAACTCCCAGTTTTCTAGCCATATTTATAAATCTTGAATCCATTAGAACCATTCTCGAGAGTCATCCACTCTACTCAATTTTTGAATTAACCGACCAAACGGACTAAAACGACATGTGCCCCATTAATACACCAACACCGAAGGGAATAAAGAGTAACCCACACTCCTACGCAACCGAGAAAAATCCCGCTCCATGTACACTACATTCTCTGTGAATAACCACTCAATTATTTTATGGTCCTCCTATAACCATAGAGTGTAATACAACTTATGTCCAGAAATTCCTTTACCCGAGTCATCCTCGATCTCGACCTCTGCAAGTCATAACTGATTCACCGGTATACCCAGAACTGAAACTAATATGACCCATAACCGTGCAATCAACTCGTCGATAATAGACTCCCCCACTTAGCCTTAAGCTGCAATTATATAAAATTAGAACCCATAAGGATTTCTCCTTCTCAATTACCAAGGTCTCGCACCATTAACCTGCCAGACTTCTCGAAGTGTTTTATTAAGCCTTTCATGAACATTCTGAATCTCCAGCCAAAATCACATACGCAACCTCCTGCCGGGTAGAAAGTAATATTCCTCGCAAAAGCTTCACCAACATCACGCCACCAGTAGCTGTACACAGGAGATAACCCACATGTGGAATTCCTTACCGACATCTTCCAATGACACTGCACTGAGTTCAACGACCACTAAATCCGTAAATTCTCCTGAGTTCATGCTCACCCACCATTTGTATAAGTCTGCACTTTCCTTATTGACATCAACTGTACGTCAACAATACCTTACGAACTCAAGTCATATTGCACCTGACACGATAATCAGATCTTCACGCCTCTATTCATTTCAAACACACTCCTTTCTGCCATATTCAATTTTTCCTTTGTACACTAACAATCACTCCAAATAGAGTCTGCAGGCCCGATTCACATACTAACATGATTCCAAACCATTCTACACTTTCTCAAGGCACACGACTACCCTTCTAGTGAATTTATATGCTAATCTGTCAGTCTTACTTCGGTTAAATCATCTCCTTTAAGAAACTTCTCAACATCTACTTCTCCTACTTGACCTGCTAGTACTTCAACCACCGCGAAACACTTCCCGTCATGTCTTACCTCATGCTTTGCTACCCAAACTGCTGCGTCAAATCGAAATGTATCTCTGTCGCACCTGAACCAATAAAATGTTACTGACTCTAAGTCTCTTCGAAGATTATCTTTCTCAAGCCATCAACATCAAAAATACCCATTCGCAACCACAATCACTTACTCTTCTTGAGTCCAAACTCATTGAGAAGACATGAGAATTTAATTTGCCCCAAAATTTTAACAACGTGAAAGATCCTTCAAAACATTCACACTCGAGACCGTACGTCACATCAAAACGAAAATCAAGCGCCCAATGGCCTTCCTTTATATTTCAAGGAAATACTTCTCGTCACATTCAAATCGTCTTAACACATCCCGCAATTACATCATACTCGTCACAAAGCCATTCCACCGCTCATCGAGCCACGAATTCCACTCGTAGGGGCATTACCGGACATATGAGTCCAAATGTACAGGTTACAACTGAAGCTACTGAACCAAAACTACGGTTTAAACCTAGCCTCAAGTCCTCCAAACTAGCCCATCACCAAAACACATAATACACATCTTGAACCTCGTTCCTAGAATCACAAGACGGCGATGCACAAGCGCATACAAGATGCGTGGAAGGAATTCAAAAAGTTATGTCTCAAGCTGAATCAATTTCGCACGATAGAATACAAGAAAGTGATATTTTCCTAAGGGTACTGCAGCCTCTCGAAGATAAGTACAGACGTCTTCGTACAAATCCGCAAGACTCTACTAAACCCGCTCATGACTCGTGAGACCTATGTAACCTAGGCTATGATACCAATCTATCACGACACAAAAACCTAATATGTCGTGATGGCACCTATCGTGTAACTAGGCAAACCGACTCATTTCCAAAACAATCCGATATTTTTATTTCAAAGATAATTTCAATGTTATTTAACATAAAACCTTCATTTAACAAATCAGGGTGTCACTAGTCATGAGCATCTACTACAATCTGGCTAATATCAAGGCTAACTGAGCCTGGAAATAGCTAAATACAGCTAGAGGAAGATAAGAGGAAGAAGAACAGGTGCTATGATTGCCAAACAGCTACTTTGCTATCTCCAAGAAAATCTACAACCAGAACAATCAATAACTGCTACCGTGTCCAGCTACACCTGAATCTGCACACAAGGTGTATGGAGTAACGTGAGTACGCCACCTCAGTAAGTAACAACAATAAATAAAGACTAAGCAGTAGTGACGAGCAATAAAGCATATAACGTTCATATCATGAAATCTCAGTAAAGTACAACATGCTTTAAAAATCAGTGTTTGAATCAAATCATCTCGTTTAAACCCGGTTCCAGTAAAAATCATTTAAAGATATTTTTCCAACAGTTTTTCAAGGCTCAATGAAAAGGTGAGAAAAAATGATGAAATCATAAACAGCCCCTCGGGCAAAACATCACTCATATATAGCCTCTCGGGCAAACCTCACGGTCACTCGTGCTAATCGGGCATACCTCACAATTACTCTTGCCACTCGGGCATACCTCATAATCACTCATGCCTCCCAGTCACTCAGTACTCGCACTCAGTAGGTACCTGCACTCACTGGGGGTGTGTACAGACTCCGGAGGGGCTCCTTCAGTGCAAGCGCTAGTAATCTGCACGGACAACTCATGTGATGCACGGACAACTCACGTGCTATAATAATAAAGTATGCTGCAGTCGCGCAGCCTCGATCCACACTCATCCTCACAATCAAGCCCTCGGCCGGTATCAAACATGTTGCGGTGTGCAGCCCGGTCCCATAAATATCCTCACAAATCAGGCCCTCGGCCTCACTAAGTCATAAACCTCTCAAGCCACTCGTGCATTTCAGTAAAACAGAGCATTCGACCCAAAACATTTATATGCATCAAAATAGAGTCATAAAACTGAGTTATATAGTAAACAAGTATAAACATGACTGAGTATAGATTTTCAATCGAAAACAATAAGAGGATAGTAAGAAAAAGCCGCTAAGGGTCCAAACAGCATTGGCGCAAGGCCCAACCATGGCATTCAACCCAATTTACAAAAATTCGTTCAAAAACATATAAGTATCATATAATTTCAATAAAATATGCAACTTTACAATTGCTACGGGATGGACCAAGTCACAATCCCCAACAGTGCACGCCCATACGCCTGTCACCTAGTATGTCCGTCACTTCAAAATAGTAGGATGATACGAAATCCGGGGTTTCATACCCTCAGGACTAGATTTACAATCGTTACTTACCTCAAACCGATCAAATCTCTACCCCGCAATGCTCTTGCTTCTCGACTCGGCCTCCAAATGCTCCAAATCTATTCACAATCAATACAATACCATCGATATATGCTAATGGAATGAATTCCACAAGAAAAGCTTCAAAAATTAGACCAAAACCCGAAATTGGCTCAAACCCGGCCCCCGAGCCCACGTCTCGAAATCCAACAAAATTCACAAATATAGAAAGCTCATTCACTCACGAGTCTAACCATACCAAATTAATCACAATCCGACATAGTTTGGTCCTCAAATCCTTAAATTACTCTCCAAAAATTCCAAACCCTAACCCCTCATTTTTACTAATTACAATAATTAAACAACGAAATATCACCATATATACAAGTATTAGGGCACAAATAACTTACCTCAACGAAACCCCCTTGATTCCCTCTTCAAATCTCTCCCAAAAGCTCCAAAAACCGAATAGAAATGGTGAAGAATGCACCAAAATCGCGAAGGGTTCTATTTATGGTTTCTGCCCATGTTTTTTGCACTTGCGGCCATTTTCTCGCACCCGCGCGACTGCACTTGCGCAACTCACTTAATCCCCCAGCTTCCGCACCTGCGGACACCTTTCTCGCACCTGCGGACTTGCATCTGCGGTCCCTGGTGCGCATCTACGAAACCAGCCTAAAATTATCATCTCTGCATCTGCGCTCAAGGCCTCGCACTTGCGGGCTCGCAGATGCGGCCAATTCTTCGCATCTGCGCTCCCAGCCTTGGCCCACCGTCGCCCGCACCTGCGCACTACCCACTCGCACATGTGAGGCTTTCTTCCGCAGGTGCGAAAATAGCAGTAGCAGCAGCTCCAACTGCAAATTTCAACTTCGACAAATCCGTTAACCACCCGGAATCACCCTGAGACCCTCGAGACCTCAACCAAAAATGCCAACAAGTCATATATCAACATACAAACTTAATCGAATCTTTGAATCACTCAAAACAGCATCTAAACACCAAATTACCCTCGGATTTAAGCCTAAGAACTTCTAAATTTTCAAATTCGGCAACCGATGCCGAAACCAACCAAACCACGTCCGAATGACTTCAAATTTTGCACACACATCACAAATGGTACTACGAACCTACTCCAACTTCCGGAATTCCATTCCGACCCCGATATCAAATTTTTCACTGCCGACCGAAATCGCCAAATTTTCAATTTCGCCAATTCAAGCCTAATTCTACCACGGACTTCCAAATCACATTTCGGACGCACTCCTAAGTCCAAAATCACCTAACGGAGCTTACAGAACCATCGGAATTTCAATCCGAGGTGAAATTCTAAAGAGTCAAATTTTGGTCAACTCTTCCAATTTAAAACTTCAACAATGAAATTCTTTCTTCCAATTCGATTCCGAAATACCTGCGACCCAAAACCGATGATTCACACAAGTCAAAGTACATTATACGGAGCTACTTGTACCCTCAAACAACCGAGCGAAGTGCAAATGTTCAAAACGACCGATCGGGTCGTTACAGATACACCAGCTAATCTACTACTATCTCAAAAAATACAGCACGCAGAACTAATGCAACTACAACAAGGCAAGGAATACATTAACATCTGGACAAGTGGAATGACACGAGGAGTTTTGAATGTGTTTCTGGGAAGCAATGTTTGGGATGGAGTTTCTTGTCAAGGGAAATGCATGGTCGGGGTACATTCATATGCTTTATACAGGTAATTGCAAAGCTAATGAATAAGGCAATAGAGGAAAGAAGTAGCAGCCTCGAGCTAATCTGGAAACAGGCATACGCTATTTGTGCAAGTCAATCGTCGACGCATGAAGCATTGAGTCATTTATGTGGCTCATACTCTAAGGAAAAAGTGGATCAAAAGCTACAGGAACAACATGATACAATGACAGCGACATTAATACCACAGGTGCAACACAAATATGGGAAAATTCGCAATACACGCATATCACACATAACCTCCAAGTGTGACAGAACTTTCTGCCTGGTTTTTATAATTCTTAGACATATTTATCTTAGATTACATCATGTACTATCACTATTGGGTATTTTACTCAACTTTGACAGTAAGATTTATGCTGCTTTCAAATTTTACTTCCTACTCTGTGTAAGACTTCGAGACATTTTATTTATTATGTTATTTATATTTAAAAACTAGCCTTAGGCATAGTGCCTAGTGGATTTACTTAAAAAAAAAAGGAAAGTATTACTCCCTCCGTTTCAGTTTATATGAACCTATTTCCTTTTTGGTCCGTTCCAAAAAGAATGACCCATTTCTAAATTTGGAAACAATTTAGCTTAAACTTACAATTCTACTCTTAATGAGAAGTTTTTATAACCACGCAAATACTCTGAGCCCCTTTTTGACTTGTTTAGGACTACAAATTCTAAAAGTCTTCATTTCTTCTTAAACTCCGTGCACAGTCAAACAGGTTCACATAAATTGGAACGTAGGGAGTACTATTTTTATGGGTCAAATAAAAATTGATTCACTTGAAACAAAAGAATTAAGAGAATGATGTTGTTAACAAATATATGTGAATAATATTGTTAATCTTACATGGGTTGTGTCGGCGCGCATCTCGACCCAAGTCATTTTTGTTCCATCCTTCAACTTCTTCATGTGGGTTTCCTCAAACACCTCATCATGAGTAACTGGTCTTTCTTTAGTCTTTTCCTGCAAAATAAAATATGTTAAAAAAATGATAACTAAAGTAGTTATAAATCAAGAACATTATAATAAACACATTACCAATCTTCTTCAATGAGCCGTCATACTAATTGAACCCCCGTGTGCACAGAGCCACCCTTGTCGGACATAGTGGCTTTCCTTCCCTGGCGGCTCATCCTCTAAAATTCCGGAGATTTTCAATATTCAAGAAGTTTAACCCATATATCATCAAGAATCCAAGTTGGCCTCCCATTAATTTCTCGAGCAGTCCGAAGCATATCAGACAACCTATTAGAACAATTCTCAAAGAATGTACCACTCTCACAACCAGTAAGATTCTGAAAGTCAACATCAGCTAAATTACTATAGTTCTCTCCATGAACCGTCCACACATAATAATTTTCTCTAAACCCTTTTCTGTAAAGATGAACTTTAACATCCTCCGATATCAATAACTTTATACAATTGCACTTAGCACAAGGACATCTAATCGTTCCTTCATTACAGAATTCAGAAAGTGTTTTTGCATAAGCAATAAATCCTTTAACACCTTCTACAAATTCTTCCTTCAATCCCCCACGATTAGGATGATTTCTATTGTACATCCCTCTACGATCTCGTTCCATCTATTTCACAATAACAAGATAAAATATTAAATAAAGAAGTACATAATTTATTTTATTCAATATATACTAATCATATACTTTGTTGTCTTATATTTAGTTGATTAATGGTCCTTGTTAAAAGATAACTACACAAGTCGACAACCAAATAAATTAAACGGTGTATTTTAAAATTGTCAACTTTCTATCTCCATTTCTGGAAGAGCTCTACACATTTATATCAAGAAAAGGAAAGCTTTATCACAATAGTGTAATATTTATACTCTTAGGAGACAATGCATGTAACCCTAGAACACCTAGTGTCTTTTTCTATCAAAATATCTAACAAACAAAAGAAATTAAAAAGAGAAAACTGATAAAGAATTTATTAAGAAAAAATTCATTTTGAAAAACGAGTGTTGGATTAATGAAGAGGGAACCGAGAAGCTTCAAGTTATGAATAATTATGGTCAATGAACCTAAACAAGAATGCTTCATATTTCAATAACATAAGACACCTAAAGCACAGGAAAATAACTTTTCAAAAAAGATAAGACTAATTTCATTTTTTATCCAAATATTATACACATCAAGTACCTTAATATTTGCCTCTTTTGGTAAAAGAAAATGACCCATTCGATCAAAATCAGATTCTCTCTCCTTCAACCGCAAAAGAATCAAACACCTATAAACAATAAAAATCAAATGAAAATGTTAAGCTAAGACAAGAACTCAAATGTCTTTAGCTATCAAAATTTGTCCTGGTGATATTGCGCCCACCTCTATTGCGCTAGGAACTAGCTACCTACAGCTAGTACCGGGTAACTCTGCCCCCAAGGTTAAAGAAAAATTTATATGTAATAGTAACTTGTCAAACACAAATTTAGACACAAATTTATATGTAATAGTAATTTGTGCATATTGTCACGAGCAATTTGGTTACTTGTAAATGTACTTCGCCTTAAATTTTGATACTTGTTGTAACTAACTTCTTGTTTTTTTCCCTCAATAATTAACTATCACTTGTATTTGCTGGAAGCAATTAAAGTGAAAAACAATTCCTAGAACATCTTTTATACAATTCAAAGTTACTCTGGAAGGCATCCTTGTGTTTCCCCAATCAACTAGATGCTTATATGAACACTACAGTTTGTTTCAATATAATCTTCTATTTTACTATTAGTGAGGATTGGCAAAAGAAAGTTGTATAAGTTGTTTTATTTGTTGTTTGCTGGGGATGAGTTTGGTGTAATAGTTATAATGTGGGAAAAATAAGAAGAGTAGTGGAATTACTTGTGTAGTTTAGTTAGTGTCTATATTTCTGTGTGAATAACATGAATCAATCCCATGTCTAATATGCATATTTTTCTATACATGGCTCAAGAAGATGTAGAATTTTATGTGCAAACACTTAATATCGTATCCCTCCTTTTTGGGTTATTCAACATCTATGCGCGGTAAAGCTGGTTCAAGTCCCCTATTTTTTCATGGGTTGGGAGGGGATGGTAGACATTGTAGCTTTTTGATATCTGTGTACTGATCACTACAGTAAGCTCATTGATGCACTCCTACAGAAAGGTCAGTTCTGCTTCTCTTGCTAACAGTTTCATGCTTTAGATAATCCAAAATGTAGGAAAGAAGTAAAATTTTGGGCTCATACGAGTTCGTTATTTGACTATGACTTCAGGGATCCAACCTTTTGTAACATTAACACATTATGACATACCACAAGAACCATCAATTAACGCTACAATCCAAATACACATTTAAAAAAACAGATCTGAAAAATAGACCGAACAAACAGGAATAAACCAACTAAATATTATCTTTCAACAAATTAATTGTTTCTAAGATCATATATGCACAAGAGAACAACATTAATTTTTTAAACCTAGGGTTTGAAACAGTATAAAATCCATAAAATTCAAAGTTTTTTAGGGGAAAGCAAAAACGAAAAAGGAGACTAGGTGAGTGAGTTGGAGGGAGAGAGAGGGAGAGAGAGGCCGACTTACCTGGGAATGGAGTGAAGACTCGTCTGTGCGTGGAGTGAGAGAGACAGAGGGGGAAAACACTAAAAGAAAACTTATAAAACGTTATGTGAATGAATAGACTAAGAGAAAACTTATAAAATGTTAATAATAAAAGCTTTCCCTTGGGAAAGCTCTATGGGAAATTTTTTTCATTATTATAAAAAAAAATTAAAAATTCAAAAAATTTCGTATACACTGAGTCTGTGGTAATATTTAAAAATATTTTTTTATTTATTGTTTAAGTTCCCACTGTCTTCTCTAGAATTTTTTTTAGTTTTATATAATTATTTTTTAATGAATTTTCCCACAGAATCAGAGAGAACTAAACTACCCGCATTTTTTGCGCCAAAACGTTCCTACGGATAGTCAATGGGAATTTTTTTTTTTTCTTTTTTCTGGAAAGAAAATTTTAATTTTCTCATTGAATTTCGGTGGGAATTGCCACTGATAATTTTTTCGTGGGAAATTTCCGTTGGAAAATGCTATGTTTCTAGTAGTGGTCTATATGTGGATTGGGATGCACACCGCATCAAGCCTTATAGGCTTTATTACTATTGATGGGATCGGTCTGCACACCGCAGCAGGCACCGTACAATGCTGGGTGACTGAGTATGCTGAGGGATTGAGTATGATGAGTGGGAGTGCGAGACAGTGAGATTGAGTATGATGAGTGGGAGTGCGAGACAGTGAGATTGAGTACTCTGAGAGCGTGAGTACATGAGTTCATCACTGTGATGCATTGCATTGACATGTGTACTTGACATACATGCATAGAGATGCATTTCCTCATGCTACACGGTATTGTGACATTCATGACTTCGCATGCACATTAACATGTAGGCATAGAGATGTACTTTCTACATGCAAATATGATATTTTAATATTTTATGTATTGTTGAAAGTTTTTTGGAAAAATCATAGTTTTCTGATAAATTCAAATTTTGGTGAATTCGGTGAAAGATTTGGGTTTTACAGTTATACTTGAGAAGAATGCCTATTTTTTCATAAACGTGGACGAGCTGAGCATCATATCTTTGAGTTGTTTCTTGTCCTACTTTTATTATATTGTTATGAGTTGTTGTTGGCCATTGGTGTTGGACTGTGACCATTTGTCCAAGCTCGTCACTGCTTTCAACCTAAGGTTAGGTCTGTTATTTATTGGGTACATGGAGTCGGTTGTTCTCATACTATACTTCTGAACCTTGCGTGCAGATTTTGGATGCTGATGTTACTGTGAATGGTGGGAGCTGACACTAAAGACGTATATGCGTTCCGGTCATAGCTGCCTCTTATTCTTGGTAGCTTTAGAATTATTAATCTATTCATGTATATTTCAAACAGATGATGTATTTATTTCACACCAGCTTTGTAAACTCTATATCATAGAAGCTCATGATTTGTACAACCAATCCTTGGAATTTTGTATAAAAGCTCAGTTATTACATCATGTATTTTTCTCAGTTAAATATCACTTGAATAGGATTGTTGCTATTTGGCTTACCTAGCGGATTGGGTTAGGTACCATCACGACTGGTTGGATTTGGGGTCGTGACAGAAATTCTCTCGAGTACCATTCATGGTTTTCGCGATGTCCCGACCTATCGAACAACTGATCTAGGCTCACCCATCCGTCCTTGATGTTTCCCTAACTTTGACTGCTAGCCAGACCCAGAGCAGTTAGGTACCTATAACCGGGCATGGTGACTGGTAGTATTGGTCTCCTCCCTGTAAATGGAAGCTCCGTGAAACTGGTAACTTCTTTCAATGTCGGCACTAACTCACAATCAGTAAACTTGAACACCACCTTAGCCGGATCCCAGAACTCTATCAGCAGGCGAGTGGGCACCCTGTCTGCTCAGATGTTTAACAAAGTGGTCAGTGCACCCACGTGTGTTCGAATCTCATCTTTATGCTCTTAGCGGATGTTCTTCCACCACTTCTTCAGCTTGTGCGGTACTCCCATCACCATATTGATTTCGGGGATGTTTTGGCTGATTTCCATTTCTGAAGTGGGTAAAGAAAAGTTTTGGTAAGTGTTTGCTTCGGGTCTGTAAATGTCTCGTCAGGTTTGTTCGTCTTTCCACAGAAGTCATGTCGTTGGGAGCATGACCCATTGACATTAGGGTGGCTTTCCTAATTGTGTGTCGATGCCAAGGGCCGACTCACCTAAGGTTTATGCAATATGACCTATGTTTACTAGAGTAGAGTGTTTCCTACTTTTGAATTGGAATGAGCACTGCGAGAAGTTATGTCAGTTGACCTGACAAAGCCATTCTCTAAAACTAAAGAGTTTTGCAAAGAAGATTCGGAGTAGTGTAAAAGACAACCCTCGCTTGCCATCGTGTGTGATAGTGTACGGCCAAGACTCGATAGGAAGAAGTGTGATGACGGTATATATAAAGCAGTAACAGATAAGTATGTAACAATAACATGCATGATAATAAGCAAGAATAAGAAGCAAGTAAGGTAGATAAGCACGTAATTGCAAATTAAATACAGTTAAAGCAATATACAAATAAATCTAAGGGCCAAATTCACTCTAAGTCTGCTATGGTTAGAACCTAAGTGTGAATCATCAGTAGAGTCGTCATATTGTTGTATCCTATTTTGCACTAGTCAAAACAAGATTCAACTTGTGGTTCCTCTGTTGTTGATGAAAGAGAGTCACCACCTAATATTTAAAGGTATACTAGGGTACCTATTTAATTACTAAAGGTCATATTCTTTATTATTCTGCTAATCAGTGAGATTATGGGTAAGGGTTCTTGTTCTTCTAAGGCGAAGGTGTTAGGCACCCCTTAAAATCTACCTAAGATAGCTCTAGGACTTAGACTAGATTTAGGACTAATTATTTGTATTATGCTTAACTAGTGTTTAAGTGATACGACTTACTATATATTAGAGCATAATACTTACAAAAGAAGTGTGTAGTTTAAAAAGGTATGAATTTATATAGGAGTCTTGGAAAAATAAAGTTAGTGTATGTATGCTTGAAAGAGCTTGTGATATTTGTATGAAAATATGTGAAAAGAAAAGCTAAGTTATAAAACACTTTGTCTTTTAAGAATCATAGATGTTCATGTTTCTCCGGTGAGATAAAGATGTTATGAAAGTAAGCCTAAGATATACCTTGGCTTTTAAATATTTGACTTGAAAGAACCGTTTGAAAATCTTTGTTTGGACAACAACACCTTGGTTTTTCGAAAAGAGTTGATTTCCTTTTAGAAGGTCAAACTTGCAATTCAATTCTGATTTTTCTTTTAAAAGAGGGGCCGCCGCCTCTTGCTAAGCTTTTTGGGCTTCAAAATCGTTAAGAAGAATTAGCAAAAATATAGCAGCTAAATGGTATAAACAATTTATGACTAGCGAATAGGAATTAGTTACTAACTAATACTTCTTTTAATCGTATGTTTTTTAAAGCTTGCCTAAGTTGGTTTATATGATTTAAGACATAAAGTAAAACATTCAATCCAATGTATAATTGTTGTATACATGTGAGATAAAATAAGAAGAACGCAGCAAAATGCAATTAGCCAGTAAGGCTAAGTCAATGAGGCAGTAAACAATAAAGGAATCAAGAGGAGAGTATTGGACTCTCGTGTTTGGGCCTCAAAGAGACAGGACCAACATTAACAAGGACGGGCAACAACTGACTTTGGACTTTCGAGATATAGCAATGCTGGATTTGGGCCTGAGTTCCTTAAGAATTCAGCAGGCCCAACCAAATGTATATGTTAAAAAAAGGAGAAGAAAAAGTCATTAGAAGAATAATACTCTATGCATGTTCATACATGAAACATTCAAGCAAAAATAAAAGAAAGTGACTAACAGTATTTAAACACTAGAAGGGTCATACTAATGAGGTGTTTATGTATAGAAAGTGATCCACATTGAACACCTTTCGTTGTCATTAAACACTAAACCCAAAGAGAATAAGTGTCAATGAATTAAGGGCTAAGGAAAGAGTTCCACTCAAGGTCGAAGCCCCATTTGAATCCCCCGACACTTCAAAATTCTCAAGGGTCTCAAGGCCCAGGGCAATGCTTGTGTCGGAGAGAGTAGCCCAACCAAGGGTTAAACTCTACTCGCAAATACCCTTAACCACTAACGACTCATTCTTCCCTATAGATTTAAATGTCAATGAGGCGACTTTCAATGTGAACCAATCACCAAATACCATACCACAGAAGTATACCCTTCTTAATAGAATAATATAAGGAACACAAAAAAATAGTTTTATTTACATAACTATCCAATACTAAGGGAGTGATTAACATATTAAACAGGTCTGAAGATCAAGTTCCAAACACACATAGAGGCAGGAACACTATAATGTTGCTGCTAACAATCAAACACTTGGGATCACACATCTTACGGATAGATTAAGAGTACACAGTTCAGATATGCAACAACCCAGATATTCAGATGCCTTTGCCCTAGCAGACTAATCATAGATTGGTTTAACTCCGGTCTCGCCACTAGCACAAACATAGATTAACAATACAACTTGGAACTTTTGAAAGCATCAACAAAGATTCAGAAAAAAAAGTCATAGTTAGAAACCTCTACAATTATATTAGAGATACCAAAATATGATCAGAACTTTTAACATGACTACAGGTTTGCAGATTCAAATAGAATATCTAAGAGTGCTTAACAGGATCACAGACTATCAGTCTTACTTAACCTTGAAATTGATGATAGAACCACCCCTTTTAAAGAGTATTAAGCTCATTATGAAATAGGCAAACCATTATGTCCAAGTAGTAGCAATAAGAAGTTTCCCTTAGGGTTCATAGACTAGGTTCAATTCAAATTAAAAGGAAAGGGAGAACTGGGTACAGTTTCAAGACAGTGCAAAGAAATAGGAAATCATGAAACCAAAATATAGATACATACAACACTTTAATTCAATTTCACATAGATATTTCAACTAAGGTTATGATCTTACAAAAACAGGATGAGTTTCACTTATTATAAGATCAAGTCAACAATGTCATTAAGGAGGTTTGAGACATGGGAGATACTACACTAAGCAGGTTTAACTCAACTGTACAGGCTA